TATCCTTCGAGTTTGTCCAAGTCTGTGGGATTCGTTTCTCTATCTGGGAAAGCTTCATCGGTTTCTTTATCTGATGCTATCCTATTTCTACAATTCTAGCATGTTTTTTTACCGTTGGCGTTCGAATTTCGTGCAAAAAGTTGTGTTGGAAAGGGAGCATGGTGGCCAAGATGGCATCTCGTGCCTCCTACCTTGTGTATTATTATTGTATAGAGAGTGAATTTGAACAAACTATCACGAAACTTCGTTGGAGCATTAAGAACAACAACAACTAACTGCAGAGTAAGTTTCATCGAACTTTATTAAGTATTTCCCACAAATTTTAGGATCGAGTTTTTACCCCTTACAAACACTGTAATTCTACTGGAACCGTACTGTGGTATTATTACAGAGCCTGGGTTACCTGTGGTTTTAGTGCACAGAAGCCAGGCCTGCAGAGACTACTTACGTGTCTATTGACCTTGAGAGATATACATGAGCGCAAGTAGTTAATAGAGTTCTTTACAAAAAATTCAATAAAAGACTTTTCACGGTGAGATATTAATCCCAGATGCTGCCTATGACAGTATACTCTTTAACTGGAAGGGCCCGTTCGTTGACTACACTCACTGCTGAAAATGCATTCAATACTGACAGCATTTTTAAGGAAAAGAAAAGGCTATGCTGTAATTGTTTATAAGAAAGCGTTTACTTAGCTTGGTACTATGTCCTTACACCCCCGCTCCTTCATGACTTTTAAAACTCGGGCTTAAATGGAAAAAGTGGCTGGCTACGCCCCTGATACCCTTAACCTGTGCTATTCAACCTATCTTCATGCTCTTCTCCAACAGCATTTGACGCAAATCTTTCCAACGTTCTTTACCTCTAGTTTAGTAAAGTGATAATTTCTTTGGAGATATTTGTACATCTCCTGTTAAAAATTGAAAAAGCTGCACATAGGTGGCAATATATAAACTGGCTCCAGAGGCCCGTACACAAAACATCTAGTATGGAATTAACCTCATCCACAGTTTGAGAAAGCTCCCCTCTGGGTACACTGCATCTCCTTATCGCGGCTTGGACGAGCTTTAGATGATTTACAATCCTGGTCAAGTCTTTAGACAAATTTGCATTTATGGCGCTTTTTAAAACTACGCGTGACCCTTCATCCCCCAAACCTTCCCTGTACGGCGTCTTTCCAGGCCAACCTGACCTGTAACAATGTATAGCGTGGGAGAGGTTAGTGTAGTGTATATTACTGACACGTTTTAAAAGTCTTAACAAGCTTGACAGTGGAAAGCGTACCAGATTGATAAGAGGTAATAGATAACAATCATAAAACTTAAAATGTTTTGTTTTGCACTATTTCCAGCCCGTGCCTATGGTAGAGGAAAATGGGTAGAAATAATTGGAACTCGCATCTTCCAGAGATTCGGGCAAAAAGTTAGGACGGGAAATTGCTCCGAGGAAAAAGAACTGTAACAAGTAGCTTGCACCTTTTGATAAGACATTTGTCTTGTTATCTTGTAGATTCTTGCCGAGTTTTGGACTTTGGGAGTGAAATGGCTTTTGAAGGAAAGCAACTTATAAACCACGTAATACAAACTATCGAAGATGTTCTTGAGGACTTCTGTGGATCACTATGTTTCATGGAACACGATTGCGTCAGTTATAACGTGGAAATCAGCAGCGGATCACAGCTAGCCACAAAATGTGAATTAAATAATTCAACGCACAAGGAACATCCTGGAGACCTTCGCATCAAGAACAATTACATTTACCGTGGAAGTGAGGTTATTATCCCTTTAATATCTTTAATTGAGTAGCCACCTTCAGGCCAAAATGTTCTCATAGAAGTCTTGAAGGCTTTTTCAAAGGCCTGGACTGTAAAATACGTGACGTGATGTTTCTTCAAAATAATCTGTTTCATTCCACAACATAGTTGTTCTTTCCTATAGTCATGTCATTATTAAAATAGCACAATTTAATTTTTTGTCTTTTAATAGGGAGCGAAAAAAAGAAACACAGAATAAGATGGCACGAAAATTCTCCCAGTTTTATTCGATAGGCATTAATACGTGAGGGGTCGTAGTTTGCAATAAGGAAGTTCACGAGACTCGGTGACGAATGATATCATTATCATTCTGATCATTATAATAGCAAATGGCTGCCATCTTGGATTTCTACTAGAGAAAATGGGCCAAAATGAGCGTGTCAATAGTCAGCCAAAATCAAAAGTATTACTGGAGTTAACACAGAATACTTGTTTCTCGCTCAAAGAAATAAATGCATGAAAAGACACTGCAAAAACCTAGGTTGTTTGTTTCACCTTTACCTGTTGCAAACACGATTAAAGGAAAAGAATAAGTTCTTCCTTGGTATTTTCAAAGGATGATAAGAAGTTGCCTCGGCTTGTTTCCAATTGAATTGTTTAATTTGCTTATTTTTATCTTCTTTGTTGCACAAGAATTTCTGTGCGCAGACGTCTTGTCCAAAAAACTCTAATTGTCAAGTGGGGTTCACAAACAAAGGATATCGATGTTTTTGTCATCCTGGTTTTGGTGGCCAACTTTGCGAAGGTAAGTAAGGAGTTGAGTTTCTGTGAGCATAGTAAGAGCCTCACCTTATCAGCATGATATAATCCTTAATTTTAATAAGATATTTGGAATCATACGTAACTATAAGCAGTTAAGCACAGAAATATCAACATTGGTCATTGTAAGTGACTACGGTTTTCCTTAAACTAAAGATGAAATTGTACATTCATTTTATAATGCACGATTTTCGCCACCCATTTTTAAAATAAAAGTTGCCGATATAGAGAGCCTTTTCTCGGCGGGATAAGGTCCTTTACCTTGGAAATAATAACCTGCTTGTACATGTGACCTCTTTTATCTCTATCTAAGGTATATTTACTGTCGGCAGTGGGACCTGACAATGACAGCTTTTGACGTCAAAATTGATTTTCCCTGACGACTGTTTTATGCAGCATTCGTTCAAACTATTTGTTTTGTAAACCACTGCCCAGAATTTTAGCTTACGAATACATCCTCATTTATAATATATTTGTTAATTATCACGATGTCTTTGCAATTTTAAGATAATTTTGAATAGATTCGTCATGCTTACAGTTTAAACCGATTCTGAATACACCTTTCAACCTTGTTACTCTGATACTCTGATAAAGTCCATCATCATCATGGCCGTCGTTATCATCATTAGGGAACTTAAGCAACCACGAACACGACCGTCGGGAAAACTGTAAACTAAATGCATTTGCGTCTTTTCAAACTTTATCGTGTTTATTTAGCCTTGTTTATTTTGTCAAATGTTGGTGAATTTCCCTGAAGCTCATTTTTCTTAAGTCCCGTATCCAAGTTCTAAAACGGAAAAGAAAATTATTTTTTATTAGGAAGCTCCATTAGGAACTCGGTTTCACGTCGTGGTTGTGCTATGGATGTCAAAGAAATGTACCAAAACCGCGTGCTGAACGTGCAGAGATGTTGCTTGATAAGCCTACTGCGATTTCGTTGCGTTTGTACAGACGCTGAAGGACTAAATGTGATAAATGACCCTGAAGTCCTTAATGTGATAACAGTTTGCCCTAAATGTAATAAACACTTAAGAGTGATATCATTCGGCCTTAAATTAAGTGGCGTTATGCTAACGTCATCAATGACCCAAGTAACGCATCATTATTATGACAATGGCCACGTGATCTGTCGACCCAAGTTCAACGAAAATCAGTCAGGACATCGTCAACCACATGACCAACTGATTGTAACACCCACGTGAAAAATGAAAACCTCAATCACGTGACTTCTTAGCATTGGTATACCGTGTGCGGTTTCTAATTTTTGCAGCGATCCGAAAAAATAAGTTCCCGCAAAACATTTTTTTCCGCAAACATTTGCTTCGGAGTAATTATTCTCTAACTAAAATTCGCTACACAAAGACACAGTAGTAACAAAACGTGCCTGTTCATGCTTGTAATCGAATGACAAAGGAAAGTAATCTGTTTTGCTGGTTTTACATAAGGTACGCACAGAGTAATATTGTTTGAAAAATCACATAATCTTTATTTACCTTCAATTTTAACAGGAATGATTAGGCTGGCTTGAAGATAGCTCAGAGCTAATCGCGACAAGCCAGACTGTACAGAGATAACTTTTTTTTTTATATAGATATACATTTTAATAATACAGAACCTCAAAAAACTGGAAAAAACGACTCTTGCCAGTTTTTTGTTTGTTTGATGTGCTGTTAATAATACAGAAGATATACATTAACATAAAAACTTTGTGCAACTTAATATGTACGCTAGACTTCATATTATTGAGTATTAAGAAACAAACAAACAAACGAAAACAAGTAAAGCAAAATGTAATATGCAAGGAGGAAAGCAATAAACTGAACTTAAGTTAATTATTCATTATACTAATTAACACATGAATTACAACATGATGCCGAAGGAGAAGAACAAATGAACAATATGTCAAGAGGAAAAACTACAAACTAAACTAAAACTAATTTTACATTTTATTAATTATTTTTTTCCAAGCTTGCGAGCGGGCGAAAACCTCCAAATCCTGCAATTGTGATTGGTTCCGAGAGCGGGCGGTATTTTACGATCTTGAATAGTTGAATTTGGAATAGTTTTCTTTAATAGATATATTAAAAGAGTTTTTGGGTAAGCTTTTAAGATTAATTGGTATCTCATTCCAGTTATAAACACCAACACGTGAAAAGTCCTTTCCTTGAATATTAAGTGCAGATTGTTGACAGTGGAAAGCGTACCAGATTGATAAGAGGTAATAGATAACAATCATAAAACTTAAAATGTTTTGTTTTGCACTATTTCCAGCCCGTGCCTATGGTAGAGGAAAATGGGTAGAAATAATTGGAACTCGCATCTTCCAGCGATTCGGGCAAAAAGTTAGGACGGGAAATTGCTCCGAGGAAAAAGAACTGTAACAAGTAGGTTGCACCTTTTGATAAGACATTTGTCTTGTTATCTTGTAGATTCTTGCCGAGTTTTGGACTTTGGGAGTGAAATGGCTTTTGAAGGAAAGCAACTTATAAACCACGTAATACAAACTATCGAAGATGTTCTTGAGGACTTCTGTGGATCACTATGTTTCATGGAACACGATTGCGTCAGTTATAACGTGGAAATCAGCAGCGGATCACAGCTAGCCACAAAATGTGAATTAAATAATTCAACGCACAAGGAACATCCTGGAGACCTTCGCATCAAGAACAATTACATTTACCGTGGAAGTGAGGTTATTATCCCTTTAATATCTTTAATTGAGTAGCCACCTTCAGGCCAAAATGTTTTCGTAGAAGTCTTGAAGGCTTTTTCAAAGGCCTGGACTGTAAAATACGTGACGTGATGTTTCTTCAAAATAATCTGTTTCATTCCACAACATAGTTGTTCTTTCCTATAGTCATGTCATTATTAAAATAGCACAATTTAATTTTTTGTCTTTTAATAGGGAGCGAAAAAAAGAAACACAGAATAAGATGGCACGAAAATTCTCCCAGTTTTATTCGATAGGCATTAATACGTGAGGGGTCGTAGTTTGCAATAAGGAAGTTCACGAGACTCGGTGACGAATGATATCATTATCATTCTGATCATTATAATAGCAAATGGCTGCCATCTTGGATTTCTACTAGAGAAAATGGGCCAAAATGAGCGTGTCAATAGTCAGCCAAAATCAAAAGTATTACTGGAGTTAACACAGAATACTTGTTTCTCGCTCAAAGAAATAAATACATGAAAAGATACTGCAAAAACCTAGGTTGTTTGTTTCACCTTTACCTGTTGCAAACACGATTAAAGGAAAAGAATAAGTTCTTCCTTGGTATTTTCAAAGGATGATAAGAAGTTGCCTCGGCTTGTTTCCAATTGAATTGTTTAATTTGCTTATTTTTATCTTCTTTGTTGCACAAGAATTTCTGTGCGCAGACGTCTTGTCCAAAAAACTCTAATTGTCAAGTGGGGTTCACAGACAAAGGATATCGATGTTTTTGTCATCCTGGTTTTGGTGGCCAACTTTGCGAAGGTAAGTAAGGAGTTGAGTTTCTGTGAGCATAGTAAGAGCCTCACCTTATCAGCATGATATAATCCTTAATTTTAATAAGATATTTGGAATCATACGTAACTATAAGCAGTTAAGCACAGAAATATCAACATTGGTCATTGTAAGTGACTACGGTTTTCCTTAAACTAAAGATGAAATTGTACATTCATTTTATAATGCACGATTTTCGCCACCCATTTTTAAAATAAAAGTTGCCGATATAGAGAGCCTTTTCTCGGCGGGATAAGGTCCTTTACCTTGGAAATAATAACCTGCTTGTACATGTGACCTCTTTTATCTCTATCTAAGGTATATTTACTGTCGGCAGTGGGACCTGACAATGACAGCTTTTGACGTCAAAATTGATTTTCCCTGACGACTGTTTTATGCAGCATTCGTTCAAACTATTTGTTTTGTAAACCACTGCCCAGAATTTT